GTCTTTTATACAGGTAACAAACTGAGATTAGGAGCACTCCCTTTAAGAGTGTGCTCCTAATCTCAGCTCGTTACCTGTAAAAGAAACCTGGAAGCCAGAAATCTTTCTGATTGAGAGGGGGTCAAATACGTATTTCCCTCATTAAAATGAAAATCAATTAAACATTTTTGACATGCGTTTTTCTGTCTCTCACTGTTGAAATAAACCTACCATTAAAATTATAGACTGATCATTTCTTTGTCAGTGGGCAAACTTACAAAATCAGCAGGGGATCAAATACTTTCTTCCCTCACTGTAGGTGTGAGGGGGAGCAGTATATTTTTTTGCCATTTAACAGTCTTCTGGTCAGGGGATAGAAGCTGTTTAGGAGTCTGTTGGTCTGAGCCTTGATGCACTTGTACCGTCTGTCCGACGGGAGAATGGAGAACAATCCACGTCCCGGGTGGCTGAAATCTTTGGCAATTTTTTGTGCTTTAGACACCGCCTGGCATGTACGTCCTGGATGGCTGGGAGCTCACCCCCAGTGATGCGCTGGGCCGTCCGCACCACCCAATTAGCAAGGAACTGCTAGTCTCAACAGTCTGCTCATGTCAGGCCTGAGTACTGTGGACAGCGTGCAGCAGCTGGAGATTGTTTACCGTAAGGATGGGGACCATATTATACATTTTTTAGGGCAGTGAGGAGAGGAATTCTTCAATTCTTCCATTGAAGGCAGACATAAACACATCTATAGTTAAGCAGACATTTGGTTAACACTGGCTGCTAAAACAAATCATGGATTATTCAAGAGTCATCCACTCAACTATTTGGTAAGTGATTTGCAGTGCAGGTCACCTGACTCCAAGCAGATGGCGCTGGAGGGTAATGTATTGGGCGGATGCAGACAGTGCTGCCTGCCCTCTCTTCTGGGTAATTAGGGGAGAAATTATCCATGGTGCACAGATTCCCCTGCTCTGGGGGACTAGCTTGGCCAGGCTTCTCAGCTCCGCTTACTGTAAACGGGACTGATTTCATCAGCCCACCCTCTCATCGTGTCAACTCCTTTTAGAGCACTTATGTATGTCACCAGTGTCGCCTTCGCGGGATGTTATGTATTGATCTTTTTTTAAACAATATGGGTCGGTCCCTCTCTTCCTCCTCATTCTCCAGTAACACAATCCTAAAAAGACAAAAATGTTATCTCCCTTGCGATCTTCCAGAAGCAGGCTATGAATGGGAGGGCTGCCTGTAAACGGACTCACCAGGAGATGACAGGTCTTCCTGTGAAGAGCCAGGTCAATACTGTGTACTGCAGGCTGAGGGAGCTGAAGACCCACGGCCTGGAGAGAGCTAGGGAAGGGGCTGTGTTCTGGCCTAACCACTGGAGAGCCAAGCTGTAAGGTGGGTCACTAAAGATGCTTCTCTCTTGAGATTGTGTGTTTTGCCATGACTGATTCAAAGCACAGTGCAGTCACTGTTGTTCTGAGAGCACATGAACACAGCACAAGAAACCAAAATCTTTGAGCAGCAGTCCATAGGTTACTTCACATGTCAGCACTTGAATGATTGAATGTATATAATTGATCTGCTTGGGCCCAAGCAGTAGCTGAAAAGCAAAACAAGCACTGCAGACCTACTACTTTGGTCATTCACCTCTAACCCCCATTGAACCACTCCTCCCCTCTCAGGTCATCACAGCAGAAGCCATCCATCAGTTCTTTGGGGAGCTGATGAAGAGGCGGCAGATGAACAGCTGATGTCATTCTGCCCCACAGTGTTCTGTTGTCTACTTGTGCAATTTTGTAATGTTACTTTGGGTTCATAGCAAACAGTTCTGTCCACCAAACGCCTTCTATTTTAAATAACAGTGCTGCTATAAAAGATGCTGTTACTGAGGTTTATGAAGTTTTGCTCAAAAAGGGTGTTCTCTAATGGTTCTCCATGGATTTCAAATGGCGTTCCATGTCTTATGAGAAGCTGAAGGACCATGCAAGTAGCATACTGTTAGCAGGCTTGGAGAGATGCTGATGGAATCTAGTCACGGACTTACTGTTAAGACTTTCATAATACTGTGACAGCTGATGAGGATGCACTGCCATTCATATTGAAACAGATCCAGTATGTGACCATTTGTTGTCACTGGCATTCCTGATAATTAAACATTTGAATAGTTCATCCAGCATACTGTGACGTGATTCTGTGGCTACTTGTCATCCAAATACCAGAAGGTACTTCTTAGATGCCTGACTCACTGTTACTCTAGGTTGAACTCAATTACTTAACACAGCCCAGAATTATATTGAAGCAGTTTATTTCAAAGATGCCCAAGTTCATCACTGTTATGCGCCTTTTGAGGTAACAGTAGAAAAATAGAACCAGTGAAACTAAATGCAACTTAGTACAGGAATCTACAGAAGTGTTTATATAGATCAAACGAGTACAAAGAACCTGTTAGATTATAAAGTTCTCAACAAATAACCAATCACAGTTCCAGAGGGTTCAATTTCAAAGGTACCTAAAAAATAAAAATAAACACGATGTAAACAAAGAATTAGCTACATGAGTTTTACAAAGGACTATTTGATGCAGGTTGGTAAGCTTGTAGAAAAGGCTTGCATAGGATATCAAAGTCACTTCTCCAACAAAAGCCCAGTCTCTGGCAGGGGAAGGCACTGACTTCTACAGCAAAGAGCAAAAATAGAATGTGGAGGCTTTTTATTCAATGGGAACACTGTCCTGGAAAATAAAGCAACTAACCAACATGAACATGAGGAATCTGAAGTTTTGCATTTTTCCCTAAGAAGCAAACTGGATATATTTTAAAAAAAAATTCTGCCCGGCAACTCCATTACTACATGGCAGAGCGAATATCTACAGATCATCTACATGTTCCTGTGCTAATTTAAAAATCCTGTGCTAGATTTAGAAATAAAATGTATAAAATCTACACAATCATGGTATTCCACACCAATAACAATTTTAAACAATTTTCCTAAAACAAAACATTTAAGAACTAAAATACAAAAAGTCTGACCATCTTTCAGACTATCCTTTCTAGGTGAAATGTGGTGCTAAACAACTTCACACTAGTCCTCCACAGCTACAAAACAGCTGAATAATTAATCTAAAGCCACTAAGATGTAATGATGACAAGGCTTTCTGTTCTACAGTATATCAAATTATTATTTACAGGCAATGCTCAGGATTTCTGAATGGTAGAATGCAGGTGATGGAAGCCATACAATTTTATTTACTTAAGAATGATTTAGGTGTTCTGGATCCCTTTTGTTCTAAATTAATTTGTTCATATTCCCCCCTGCTCCCATGTGAAATGGATTGTTCCTACAGTGCAATGTTGCCTATGTACGTATCATGGGTTTTTCAGTTTGTCATAGGAGAGACCGGTGTGGCTGATCTTACAGGCTCTGATGTGTGCACTTTGATTTCTGTAGCAACAGGCCCAGTAGCTCTCATACAGTATGCCATAACCTCTGATAGTAGAGAGAGAGAAAAAGCAGGTCTTTGCAGGTCCAGGATTGGCCAAAAGGTGGCGTGATGGTGGTCACGTAGTACATGGCAACAACCGAAATGAACATTAGACTGAGGACATTGGAATGGAGTGTGTGTTTAGAGTGTGAACAGAAGAGTGACACTAACAACTAGGAGAGCCAGTGGTGGCATCACGCTTGTGATGGATCCCGTATGGTCATTTCAAAAAGTGGATTAAGGCTTCTAATTGTTAATTCCATTGAAAGAGCAAGGTGGTTTCAAGCATATTGACCATACCATTCTATGGTCGGTCTCTGGTTAATCATCTCAGAGCCTTGTGTTGATATGTAAATACAGACCTGATTAAAGATGGATACTGAGTCTACAGTACTGATATTGTTTAAACAGTTGCCTGGGAGTACGAAACTACACACACATACAACCACACACACGTTCAGCTGAATACAAACACCTCCTGACTAGCTCGTTCAATCACACCACTGTACAACAGTTGCCATGGCACCCTTATCTTTCCCAGTGTACCTCAGTCATGAACCTATGCCCTCACTCTCCTGTCTCGTTCTGAAAAGCCTAGGCTCATGCTTTTGTGAGAATATAAAAGCCAGAGACTGTGCAGAAGCAGCACTGGTAAGTTCTGGACACAAACAATGAACCAGAAGACAACAGCGGTATCCAGAGAGAACAATGACAGCCTCCACAGACCTACTTCCTGTCTGATCCCCTTCCTGCCTGATCCAAACCAGCCTGAGCCTAGTGCTCATCACCAGGAAGGGGAAATCAAATGTTACCAATCAGGTGAGGTACGTACTGGAGGAATGCTACAGGAAGAGAGAGGAAATACAAATGAGAGGAGCAAGAAAATAGACGTTTTCCCATGATTTTATCATGAAGATAACGCTGATTGGAGCTATGTGCTGGTGTTCACTAGTTTATACTGAGTTCCTATGTATATATCTCCCAGGTAAAGTATATGGTGATGACTACAGTCCTTATGTATATCACACGTCCTCAGCACATATTTGATCTATATTACACAATTGTTACGATCATAACACATCGTTGTTATTATCGTCATGATATGATCTTAATTCCTGACTCCCACAACTAAGAGGTTACAACAAACCTTTGTGTGTAACAAGGCTCAAGGAAAATAGGCAAAACCCCTCCTAAACAGTACTGCTGGAATGATATTGTAAAACTGCAGCACTGAGGTTGGCTTCAGCAAGCTTCAATTCAACAGTCTGACAGCAACACTACAGTCACTGCTGTTTCTCTAACCTACAGACCTGATGCTGCTTGTCTGTAGCAATCAGAGGAGACGTGAGGTGAAGACAGCACTATGTCATAAAGGGAGGGCTGGAGGAGGTGGGATACTTACACACACAATCTATAAATAGAAATCATTAGCCACCCCTTCACACACTCATTAGTGTTCTGCAGTCCATGACAGAGGAGGGTCATTTCCCCCACCTTTCCCTTTTGACGACTCAACCCCCACTCCTCCCCAGGGGTTAAAGTGCTGACTTCTTGTAAGGGTAGTCAGGCTTGTTAGGCGACCTGCGGTCTCTGTTAGCCTCCTCGCTAACACTATTTCTATGAGGCTGCTGGGCCCCTGACCCTGTGGACTCGCCAGTAACCCCCATCTCCTCCTGGGGTTCACTGTGGGCCGATGGCCGCTCCTCATACCCGTCTAGGTTTCCACTAGCGGAGCCCCACAAGTGGCCAAGGCCGTGAGTGAGGTCAGTCTCATTGTTTGATCGTCCTCTAGGGACATGTCCTGCCTTGGCCTGGGAACTAGAGGGATTAGCCAGAGCTCCATCTAGCCGCTGGGGGGGCAGGCCCAGCACGTCCAGGCGCAGGGGGTCAGAGCGTGCCTCGGCTGTTCGTCCCTGGGTGTCAGACATGTAGGAGGGAGGGAAGCTGCTGGAGGAGCTGTGGCTGTAGAGGTCTGGCCCTGCGAAGGGGCCCAGGGGGTGGCTGGAGGTCGGGGTGGCTGGTCGGCAGGAGAAGTCGTAGAGGTCAGGGAACTCTGCCTGGGCCTCCAGCTTGGGCTCTGGAGCGTGCCTCTTACAGGAATGAGCGTGGCCATGGCTGAGGCTGAGGCGAGTTGAGGGACAGGGTCCGGGGGGGAGGTGTGGAGTCGGGGGGGCCATGGGGCCATGAGGGTGAGGGTTGTGACCGTCCCCCATATGGTGCTCCCTCAGGGTCATGACAGAGACGCCCAGAGCGATGTCAGGCATGAACTCCCTCATCACAGGCTCCATGCTCAGCTGGAGAGACAAACAGAAGCACACAAACACAGCTAGTTAGAGCTATACATGAACACAGCACAATACACTTCTACAGCTACAATGACCAAAAGCAATACACACACAGCATGACATGTGGATCTTCACCTGTGGTTCTGCAAGCAGGGCTCGGCCAATGGCCTGGGGGTTGGTGCAGTCTGGAGGTGGAGGCCTGGGGGCGGAGGGGTAGTCAGGGCTGCCATGCTTGGCTGAGGCGTGGAGCTGGAGCTGGGTGCGGTTACAGGGGTAGGAGAAGGAGCGGGTGGGGGGTGGGATGGGTACATGGGGCCTCCAGGCCCCCTTCAGCTGGGCATGGCTGGGGGTGGCAGGGGGGTGGTACGGGGGTGGAGGGGGAGGCAGCGGGGGGTGAAACCCAGCCATGCCCTCCAGGTCTGAGAACATGCTGTCCATCGCTGGGCTGCTGTTGACCCGACAACGTCCTGCCTGGCGCAGGGCCAGAACCGGACTCTCGTCTCCAAAACGCTCCTCAGGGAAGAACTTGTAAGGGTTCTGAGAATAAACAAACAAAAGATTTAGCATTAGCATCTAAATGGTCTTCAACTACAACACATACAAGTCATCAGCATAGTACACGAAGTCTCTATCAGTCTACAGCCTGGTTACATTCTCAGACCTGGTCCTCCCTGTACCCAAGGGTGTTTCCTCTCACCTGCAGTAGCTCAGTGGCTCCGTCCGCCAGGCCAAACTCCCTCAGCACACGCAACTGCAGCTCATAGCTGACGGTGGCCCCCTCGCCACAGTTTAGGGCGTAGGACCTCTGGACCTGGTCTGTGTGCCTCAGCTCCTGCAGTCTCCGGATCATGTCCTTCACCACCGCCAGTCTGGGTACTGACAGGACACACAGACACACAGATGATTAGTGGACCATGTAAATGTTACTAATATGTTATACAAAATGGCTTCCTTATTGGCACCAGTCTTCTCCTTTAACCTGGGATCTCATTGGCCACCACGGACGGGACGGTGGTCTGGTTGCTGGCCATCTGCTGATGGTTGATCATGTGACAGCACTGTGGCACGGTGTTGTTGACCATGTAGAGGGTGTCAGGCACGTTGGACATGCGCACCAAACGCAGACGCACCAGATCTGTCTGCTCCACCATCATCTCATCCAGCACAGACTGATGGGAGAAGGAGACGGGTTAGGAGTCTGTCCGACCTCGGCCTGACCCAAACCCTCTTAGAGAGACGAGATCGAACAGAGATAACCTGCACTCTGTTAACCGTGCTGATCGTCATTAACCCCTCAATGCTGAGTGTCCTACCTTGGCTTCCTCTACATAGGGAGAGAAGAGGCGGGGCCGCACGTAGATGCCAGCGTTCTTCTGTCGCAACCAAGAATTGGCCTTGCCCCCCTCTGTCATGGGCAGCATGTCCGAGGGAGGTGTGCTGATCAGACCCCTCTTCGTCTGTGGACGGGAAGAGGAGGGGGATGATTTAAAGAGAACACACCTAGAGGGACAGGTCAGTCAACATGATAGATAGGTTGCACTTTATGTATTGGCAGCAGAAACTGTATTGAAGCCAACATATGACGCATCATCCATGGCTACTGACCGCGTCAGAGAGGACGTCGCTGTTGGCAGGGAGAATGTGCTCGGTGCGGATGAAGGGTAGCAGCGGGGACAGGATCTCCTTCAGTTCTTCCAAATCCAGGTCCCTCCTCTTCACCCCCCGCTTGTTCACACTGTGGGCCGTCCCGCTCAGCACGTTGGGCTCTGGGAAAAGAAACCAGCCGCAAAAAACACACAGTTAGTAGTGATTATTTTTGTAATTCTATGGTTAGTACGGCCAACACACACACACACACACACACACACACTAGACTCATTATTGTTTTATGATACAGTATTTTCAGTCGGGTTCAGAGTCACACAAAAACAAAATACTGCAATCTACGATTGAGGTGCTTCAGTCTCCCATTTTAAGGATAAAACTTGGCTTCTTTTATAGCCCTTTGGAGTGTATTTTCCCAGAGCCATTAGGGGGCCTGCTCTGAGGGTAATTATGAGGTGTATTATCTTACCCCTGTCTGTCATCCTCTTAATAAGCTGCTGCTCGCCCCACTTCACAACGTACTTGAGAATGTCCTGCTCACTCGCCTGTGAAAGAGAGAGAGGAAGATTGGGGGATGGTGATAGGGAAGGAAACGAGTAATGACAAGGTTAAACATTGCAGTGAGGATGCTTGCATTTGTGGTTGATGGTGTGACACGGTGTAGTTGTGGCCGAGTGTTGTATTTGTCTGGTTGGAGTACAGCGTTTCACCTCAGCCATCCTGTGTGACACCCAGGGAGCTTGGCACAGCAGAGCAGACCAGAGCTCAGCTTGAAGGCAATGCCTCCAGGGAATGTTCTCACTGTCTGTGCTCCAGACTATGTGTGTTTGGGTTTATGCATCTGTGTGCGTGAAGCCACTTCACTAAATAATGTTATCAAACCAATCATGCCCTAGCTGTCTCGCAGATTTGCGTGAGAACTGGAGGGGTGAAAATACATAAAAAGATGCAGTTACATATTTATTTTGTCAGCCATTATAATCAAAGCACTGACAACAAATGGAGTAATTTAGACAGGATAACATCATTGGTAAATGCATTCAGTCCAATCACACAGACAGCAGTGGTCACCTGCAGGTAGTCTGACTGGATGGCGGTGAGCAGGTGCTCCTTGCTAAGCTCGTAGAGTACGTCAGAGGTCATGACCTGGCTGAACTCCTCACACAGGAAGTGCAGGGCCTGGCGATAGACCCACTTGGAGCCGTAAGGCTGACAGCTCCACTTCAGGATGGGGACCAGGGAGTCCAGGGACAGGCTCTCCACCACGATGTCCTCACAGCCTGGGAATAGTAAGATATTTAATTGAACCATAAATATCCCGCAATACAGTCACACAGCGGTCACTTCTGGAGCCATTCAGATGGCTGCAGTAGTTTCCCTCCTATTCACCACCATGGGGAGCTCTCCCCCTTCCCCTTGGCCCCCTGCACCACAACCCCCCTCCCTGCGTTTCCTAAATAAGAGCACATACCAGAACAGCAGGCAGTGGTTTAACTCTGTTAGACACAACCCCAGAGAAATGCCTTTGATACCTTCATGTGTTCCAGTCGCTCTACCTCCCATTCACCACACTGAGTAAACACAGCGGCCAGATGGAAGCATGCTGCACAGACACACACATCATATAAGCACACATGCATGTGTTCACATCCACACAGGAAACATGCACAAACACGTTCATCAAAAACTCATTCAAAGTCACAGAAGGTTTATGAATTAGGTACCTGATATACTGGAGCTTTTTTGGAACAAATCTGGGGTGAAATGGAATTTCAGAAACGGCTATAGTGGCAGTCATAGTAAATCTAATCACATTTTATTTGTCACATACACGTGTTTAGCAGATGTTATTGCGGGTGTAGCGAAATGCTTGTGCTTCTAGCTCCGACAGTGCAGTAATATCTAACAAGTAATATCTAACAATTTCACAACATATACCCAATACACACAAATCTAGTAAGGAATGGAATTTAAGAATATATACACATATATGGACAAGCAATGACAGAGCGGCATGGACTAAGATACAGTAGAATATTATAGAATACAGTATATACATATGAGATGAGTAGAGCAAGATATGTAAACATTATTAAAGTGACTAGTGGCAGCAGCAGCCTCTAATGTGCTAGTGATGGCTATTTAACAGTCTGATGGCCTTGAGATAGAAGCTGTTTGCAATCGAGATAGAAGCAGAATAAACATCAAACATTCAAATTCTATTAACATAGATAGGAAACTAGTACATGTCCACAAGGGTACATCAATAATTTGGCTTTTCTTTTTGACAGTCAACTCAGTGGAAATGAGGCAGTGTGATGCCAGTGATAGAGCCACACAGTGTGCCTCTGAGACAGACAGAGATACTGGTCAGCCCTGGCCCTGCTGCTGCTGGCTCTGTATGGGGCTTGTGGAGCAGAGCAGCCTGCCCCCTGCCCTAGCTGGGGTATGAGCTCTAGTACCAGCGCTTCTATGTGACTCTTATCTGTGGGCTGTGGGAGATCTGCTGCACTGCCTTTCGCCTTTGAAACTGCTTGAAAATGCACTCTGGGAAATTGACTCCTGCCCTCTTGCTTTGGCCGTTAAAAGGTTTATTTCCCTTCAACTGTCACACACACACACACACACACACACACACACACACTTAAAGCTACATTTTCCTACATGTTTGGTCCCTTCCTTTACTTTTATTAGCTAGGCAGAGAGATGCAAAGCAGACCCCACAGTGTTTTAAATGCAGGATGGAAATCCTGTGTCGTTAAGTGGACAGATAAAGTTAAAACGTGGACACAGGCATTTAGCCTTTTTATCTCCCATAAACAGCCTAGAAGAGGGATTCCACACTTCTCCCTCCCTGCCTCCCTCCCTCCCTCCCACTCTCTGTATCCCTCAGTTGTCACAAGTTACCATAGCCAAAAGTCTAAATTGGCTATATCATAAAACATTTATGAAAATAAAAATAACCTTTTAAGATTAGAGTTAGGCATATGGTTAGCAGTGTGGTTAAGGTTAGGTTTAAAATCTGATTTTAAGAATATAAATCGTAGAAATAGGCGGGGTTTAGACAGAATTATGACTTTATGGCTGTGGTAACTAGTGACGACCGTATCCCTCTCATTCTATCCATATCTCTGCATTTCTCTGCTCGCACTCTGAGCAGGGGTAGACAAAGACAGACACACACACGTTCCTTTGAAAGGTAAAGATTCCCAATTGGCGACAAGCAGCACATGAAAGCAGACGGCTCTGTTCTCTATTAGCCCATTAGAATTCACAGCACCATTCAGCCTTATAAAGAAAGCTCTGCACTTTTATTATGAGCCGGAGATTAGAATCAGCATTATATGTAATACTAAAGCCATTTCCCCCTTCCCCCTTCCTCCTTCCCCTCCCCCTCCGCGGGTGGCACTATGCATTCACTGAAGCCTAGTAGACTGACAAGAATATCAACATGAGTGTTATGGCAACCACATCTTTGACACTGCAATAACTGAGGCATTTTGTCTTGCTGTTTTTATTTGGAGCTCTGTGTTTATGGAACACAACATTTCCAGACACACTTAAAACATCAGCCGCACTCAGGACCTGTAAACACTGTGGTGGACTTGAATAATGTCTGATTACTCAAGGACCTAGCGCTTAATTTTTCGCTGTCTCAAACAAAACGGAAGTAGGAGAGACTAAAACAGAATGATGGGCTCTGCTCCGACCACCTGAGGTTTAAGTCCAACTTCTAAGTAAACCGATAAGCTGAAGTTCTTCCCAGGAGCAACTGGAAATCCCTCTCTGCGTAGAACACAAGTAGGCCCAAGGCTAACAAAAACACTACTGGACTGATTTCTGTGGAGATTCAGTCTCTCTTGGTCCAATTGCATTAGGGTTCACTCACGTCATAGGTCAAGCTCTGCCTGTAACCAGAGAAATTACTTGATCAGACAGCAATATCACAGACCAAGACTTATCCTTAAATCATAACATAACAGCTGACTGATTCTCCTAATGGAAGGCAGTTAGTCACACACAGCGCCTAGCCACAGCCTCGTAGATACAATGGCAAGTTTAGATTTAAATTCAGATCCCATTCACTACCACTCTTAACACTTTCACATCAGCTCTGAAGACTGACTGACTAACACTATTTACTTCCCCTCAAGGGGTGCGGAGGTGTGGTCATTCATCGTATTAATCAATGACTAAAACTAACCGGCTCATGAATTATGAAGGGCGGCAGGTAGCTTAGTGGTTAAGAGCGTTGTGCCAGTAACCGAAAGGTCGCTGGTTCTAATCCCCGAGCCGACTAGGTGAAAAATCTGTCGATGTGCCCTTGAGCAAGGCACTTAACCCTAATTGCTCCTGTAAGTCGCTCTGGATAAGAGCGTCTGCTAAATGACCAATTATTTTATTTTTTATGATTGTAATGGGCCGTAGGTCTCCACAGATTAGTCATTACTCTGTGTGTGTGTGTGTGTGTGTGTGTGTGTGTGTGTGTGTGTGTAAAGAGAGAAGAAGTAGAGAGAAAATCTGCATTGTGTGCTGAGCCACTCATTATCATCACGCTCACTGTGCTTCAAAAATGTATAAGGCTTTTAATATCACTTAAGTGAGAGTGAGTAAAAGAGTGAGTGATCTCCTCTGGCTAGGGGGCTAATAAAGTTGATAATTGCTGATGGGAGAGAGGCTCTCAGATTGACTCCTACCTCCAGTGAAAGTGTACCCTGGCCTGGCCTCCGCTCAACCAGATGGAGGGGAAGCAGTGGAGGCACAGCGGAGGAGAAGGAAGAGACTGCCAGATGACAGAGCTCCACTTCAGCCCCTGACATCAGCCTGCCAAGTGTCTCCTGAGATAGCTCGCAGCTACCCAGGTCTCTGACAGGCAGCTGAGGTCACTTAAGGTTGTCACATGGAAATGAAATCATGGGTCTTCCCAGCTCATTTGGCACTTGGGTGAGCATGCCTTTATGCCTTGTGGTAGAGCATGGCGCTTGTAACGCCAGGGTAGTGGGTTCGATCCCCGGGACCATCCATACGTAAAAATGTATGCACACATGACTGTAAGTCGCTTTGGATAAAAGCGTCTGCTAAATGGCATATTATTATACACAGCTCAAAAAAATAAAGGGAACACTTAAACAACACATCCTAGATCTGAATGAATGAAATAATCTTATTAAATACTTTTTTCTTTACATAGTTGAATGTGCTGACAACAAAATCACACAAAAATTATCAATGGAAATCAAATTTATCAACACATGGAGGTCTGGATTGGGAGTCACCCTCAAAATTAAAGTGGAAAACCACACTACAGGCTGATCCAACTTTGATGTAATGTCCTTAAAACAAGTCAAAATGAGGCTCAGTAGTGTGTGTGGCCTCCACGTGCCTGTATGACCTCCCTACAACGCCTGGGCATGCTCCTGATGAGGTGGCGGATGGTCTCCTGAGGGATCTCCTCCCAGACCTGGACTAAAGCATCCGCCAACTCCTGGACAGTCTGTGGTGCAACGTGGCGTTGGTGGATGGTAGCGAGACATGATGTCCCGGATGTGCTCAATTGGATTCAGGTCTGGGGAACGGGCGGGCCAGTCCATAGCATCAATGCCTTCCTCTTGCAGGAACTGCTGACACACTCCAGCCACATGAGGTCTAGCATTGTCTTGCATTAGGAGGAACCCAGGGCCAACCGCACCAGCATATGGTCTCACAAGGGGTCTGAGGATCTCATCTCGGTACCTAATGGCAGTCAGGCTACCTCTGGCGAGCACATGGAGGGCTGTGCGGCCCCCCAAAGAAATGACACCCCACACCACGACTGACCCACCGCCAAACCGGTCATGCTGGAGGATGTTGCAGGCAGCAGAACGTTCTCCACGGTGTCTCCAGACTCTGTCACGTCTGTCACATGTGCTCAGTGTGAACCTGCTTTCATCTGTGAAGAGCACAGGGCGCCAGTGTCGAATTTGCCAATCTTGGTGTTCTCTGGCAAATGCCAAACGTCCTGCACGTGTTGGGCTGTAAGCACAACCCCCACCTGTGGACGTCGGGCCCTCATGGAGTCTGTTTCTGACCGTTTGAGCAGACACATGCACATTTGTGGCCTGCTGGAGGTCATTTTGCAGGGCTCTGGCAGTGCTCCTCCTGCTTCTCCTTGCACAAAGGCGGAGGTAGCGGTCCTGCTGCTGGGTTGTTGCCCTCCTACGGCCTCCTCCACGTCTCCTGATGTACTGGCCTGTCTCCTGGTAGCGCCTCCATGCTCTGGACACTACGCTGACAGACACAGCAAACCTTCTTGCCACAGCTCGCATTGATGT